TTTCCACAAGTTAAACTCTGACAATATTCCTTTCCTTGGAATGCAGAAGATTCCTGCACAAGGGATTCAATGTGGGCACACAAATTAACACCAAGCATGGCAAAAGCTGTACTAAATCCAGGACCACAGGCATCCACAGTTGCAGAAATTTAAATATTCACATAAAACCAAATTTTTTTCACCTTTTTTTCTTTTTTTTTTAAATAGACAAGGTGTTTTTGCAGCTGGATGTGCACATTCCCACTCACATCAGAAAGCTGAAAGTTCAAAGTTCAGGCAGTAGAGATATTCCAGAACCACCTGGACACAATCCTGTGCTCTGGGATGACCCTGGGATGAGCAGGGAGGTTGCACCCTCCCAGCCTGGCCCATTCTGTGGAGAAGCTTTGCAGTAAATTTAATCTCCTCTTACTCACACTTCCTCAAAAGTTATACAAATCACACATTCACATAATCACCACCAGCATAAAAATAAACACTTTGTGCTTTCAACTATGACATACTGAAAAAGTGCTGGTTTAAACAGATTTAGAAAGCACGTCTACAATTGAATGCAAAATGAAAATAGGGAGGGTAGGGAATAGAAAAAACACATAATGGAAAGGATAGAGGGAGTTGGATGGCCCATCAATTTTATCATTAGGGGATACTCCACATTCTCTTAAAAGTCCATCTTCCCTAAGCTAACAAAGTTAAGCCCTCATCACAGCTCTGAGCACAGACTTACCCTCATCTTGGGTCACAATCACCCCAAAACTTGTGGCAAAATGCTCAGCTGCTCCAGGGAAGGCAAGATTTAACATCTGGAATAAAAGTATTGCCATAAACAGAGCAAAACACCCTGTCTGGCCTCAGAGGCTGCAGATCACCCCACTTGAGGCTGCTCTGAGCCTGTGGCTGAGCTGTTTCCTACGTGCTGCAGCCCAGCTGACTGTGAAATCTGGTAAGCAGCAGGGACTAGGAGCTTCTAGATACAGGCCTGCCCTGCAAAATTTAATCTCTGATCTTATTTCAAAGCTATAAAGTCCTGGTTCAACAGTTTTATCTTCCTCCCTTATGAGAAAAAAAAAAAAAAAAAAAAAGCAGTTACTTGGAATTCTGGGTCTGGATTTATATGTTGAGTATCTTCCATATATAATGCAGCCTTTGATGGTGTAATTCTATAAAAGGTATCCCAGCAGTGCTGCTGAGAGAAATGGAACCTAAGGGTGAAATTAAAAAGCCAATGGAGCTAGAAAAAACAAACTTTCTGTAGGAATGGGTTTGGGGGAAAACAGCAGAGGAGCAGGGGACAGCCCAGTGGGCCAGTGGTGCTGGCAGGCAGAACCAGCACGGTGTCTCTACAGAATTCATCATTATCTCCAGTAACAGATGGATTTGACAGCTCCAGCAGAGAGGTGCCCCAGCAGTGATGCTGTGGCTGTCAGTGCAGGACTGGTGCTGGCCCTGGGGTGACACACCTCTGCCAAACTCCAGGCTTGGGGCACTGAGGGGATGTCATAGCCACGCTGGAGTCTGGCACCAGGCAGCAAACCCAGGCTGGAGCAGGGCTCACAGCACCTTACAGACTGAAACATTTAATCACCAGAGAAGCCACAGCCCAGAGCACAAAACCTGGGGGTGGTCACTGCTGTGTTCATCCTGTGGGTTCAGAAGAATCACAAAATCATTCAGGAGGGAAAAGACCTCAAAGAATGAGTCCAACCTGTGAGTGATCCCCAGCCCAGAGCACTGAGTGCCACATCCAGCCATTCCTTGAATACCTCCAGGGAGGGAGACTCCAAACCTCCCTGCACAGCTCTTTGCAGTGTTTAACAACCCTTTCCATGAAGGAATTCTCCCTGGTGTGCAGCCTGAGCCGTGGCCTCTGTCAGGAAGGAGAGGCTTGGCTCTGGGGCTCACAGGGAGGGAGAGCACTCCATTCTGCTGCCAGTTCACAAAGCCTGCACAGCCTTCAGGTGTCAATTTAATTTCAGCCCCTACCTTTCATCTATAAAAACACAGTGAAGGAAAGGAGGTGGCAAGCATGACTAGTGAAAACTTGGCTGAACAGCCATCCACAAAAAAATAAACAAAAAAACCTCCATGTTCCAGGATCAAATCTTTGCTTTAAAAATTTACTATTGGGCAATATGATTCAAGAAGTCCAACAAAGAACAAAGAATGTAAAAACAACAGGGAAAAAAAATTCCAAATAGAATTCAATACTCATGGATTTTTTAATTCTTCTAACTGTGGTTATGTCTTCAAACTGTATCCCAATATCCCCATTCACAGCAATTCTGCTGGGCATGAAAAACCCAGAGGATTAGTCTGGTACCAAACTGTAACAGCAATAATCAAACTAAAATAATCACACTAAAACATGTGCCAAAGAGGTCTGGAAAAGCATCTGACACTGGGTTCTCCATAAAAAAAAAAGACCCCAAGCCCACATCTTGGAACATGCATAAATCCCAACAAGAAAAATAAATATCAAATACAAAAATATAAAATAATATCAAATAAATATCAAAAATATAATATTTAAAAATAAAATAAATATATTAAAAAAATCAAATCTCAAACCAAGCCCCAGAATTCTGTAATTTTGCTGTGAATTTTCTTACAGCTCCTGAAAAGGCTGATTAGCTACAAACCCAGGAATATTGTTAGTACAGGGATGCTGCAGCCAGGGCTGGCAATCTCCAGCTGAGGAAAGGGCTGAAGCACAAAGCAGGTCAGCTCTGGTTTAGGGAGAGCTGTGGCTTTTTTGGCAGCTGTTTCAGAGAAGTGCTGCAGAGCTGTTGTACTGCAACACAACTCTGAGAAACAGAATTGAAATAGAAGACTCCAGCAATCACTTAAATTTCTGTACCCCTCCGAGTTCTCTTGCTGTTAATAAAGAGGTGACATTTTCATTCCATGGACAGCATTCATCAGTTCCAGGACATACTGCTACCTGCTCCCCACAGCCCCTACTTTTTAGTCCAAAAAGCTGATTTTAAGGCTTAAAAGCCCTGGCAAAAATTACATAAAACAAGTCACAGAGGTACCTCTCTATATCAAATCCATAAATAAATTCCCTGTCTGCATATGACATATTATATCAATTGAAGTAGTTTTCATGTATATCAAAATGGTCAGTAAGGCCAAAATAGCCATGGCTAATGGTGAAAATCCTGGTCCTAGATGGGTAAGCAAAACTAAAAGAACAGGACTCTCTACCAGAATTACCAGCTTTTCCAATTTAAAAAAAAGTTGACTTCTAGGGAGAGACTAATCCCAGAAGGCAAAACACCAACACTGCTGTGACAACCATGTATGTAGATAAAAGCAAGGCTGTCTCAGTGACAGAGGAAGAAAGGAGGCAGAATTCAGGGGGAAAATATTCCATTCCCTTCAGTGCCTGACAGAAACTGCTTGGGATAGGGACAGATGGCACCTGAGACAGGTGGAAACAATTCCATGACTCCAGCATGGAGACTGTACTTAGGGAAGTGCCACTTTGAAGTCCTTAAAATAAATCACAGGCTGTACTAGTTCCTTTAAGAGGTTAGGCTAGCATTCTCTGAATGCTATTTCACAGAAAAAGGAAGAAACCTTCATGGTATTTTCTCCAAAAAACATCTGTGCAAGTCAAGTGCTCCTCCAGAGGCAGAAACACAAAGGCCACCCCTTATTTTATGAACAATTTTGTGTAAATGTTTTGTTTTAAAAACAGCACAGCAGCTCAAAGTCAAATTAGCCATTCAGAGGTCATTTTTCATCTCACTTTGACTTTTTACCTGGATGCTCCATCTTGAAAAGCCATTGTTAAATTGCCAAATTAAATGTACAGCAATTAGAAATTGCAGTAGACAAACTAAAAGCTGAGCTTGCAGCCCTCCCCCTACAGAGTTCCATTATCAACACCAACAGTGCTGCATGAATTTAACACAAAAATATAACAAGTCACTTTTTCCTACTATGGTTTTGCTTCCAGGGTTACTTAAAAGGGATACCAAAGGAAACGCAATTTTTCCCCTCCCAGTTCTGCACTCAGTCCCCTTTTCACTATCACCTAGTTACACAGAAAGGAAAAATTATTTAAAAAGAAAGTACCAAACAGTAGAATGGGCCAAGAGAGCCGATTTAAGTTTTGTGTAGAATGCTATTTGAGGGCCAAGCATGTTGTGCCTGAGTGTAGAGGGGAAAAGGTGCAATTATCAGGAATTATTCTACTTCCATGCTTTTACTGCTTTCTCACAGAAGGCTGGAACAGCCTTTTCCCACCCAAGTGCATTTCTTCAGTGCAGGCTGTGGGACTGTCAGCAACATTACCTGCCAGTGATAAATGACCACTCATTTTCACGTGTTTAATGCTTTTATTTCATGCTGAAAGTGCAAATTAACCACCACAGCCACCACCATATGTGCAACAGCCTTCACAAAACAAATCTTACAAATATACAACAATATACAACAGGTCAAAACATTATTCTTACACTTTCCATAGCCATGAAACCTATGCCCTATGAAGCCAGACAGAAGAAAACACCTATTACAAATATGCGGCCACTAGAGGCAAAGCAGCTTTGTTTTTCGAACTTTGAGAAAAGTCAACTTATTTTAAACATTATTATCCCCCTCTAATGACCCTGTGCCCAGTGTTTACCTGAGTTGTGATGGCAGCCTGATTCAGTGCTTCAGCAAGAACCAGGTGCTTCAGTGTTCAGTGCAAGCCCTCAGACATACACAACATGCCTTCAGTCACAGCATGTTTTTTCACACGCTTCCTTCTACTCACATCCAAGCTGTTCCCTGCACTGCAGTGCTTTTCTCCTATGCTTTCCTAATCAACTAAAGCAACATCTTGTCATCTATCAGTAGCATAAACCTAAAGAGAGACATGAAATTTGAACAGAGTTCGACCAACTGACTCAACTCCTCTAAGAGAGGATAACATTTACCAAACAAAATTAACAAGAGCTGGCAAACAAGAAACAAGAATCCAAGGAGGAGCCCTCCAGCTCCCAGATTTACATTCCCTGAGGTGCATCAGGAGGTGCAGGGTTGGGGGAGGCCATGTAGCCGACCTGGGGTGGTGCTGCTGAGCTGCCAGCCTTCGCCACTGGTGGGGAATTTCCGTGGGGAGGATTTACTGGATGCCAGGTCCCGATGTAGCGGTAGGCAGGAACTACAGAGTCAAAGCCAGGCAGAGGCTGCTGGCTGAAGGGCTCTGACACCACTGGGTAATACACTGGCCCGTAGGGCAGGGGTGGAGGCTCTGTGTTTTGGAAGTTACCTTAAAAAACCAGAACAAAAAGGACATTCACACACTTCAGCCACACTGATGGCCTTTTTATGCAGGCCTTCATGAGCATGAACACAGAATTACTCAAATACAAACCATTTGCTGATGCCTCCAAGGGAACCTGGTGGACTTCAGCTTGCCCAGCATCAGGGAAGAGCTGAGGCACTGACTGATCCAGGACAGGAGCTGGCTCAGCATATGCTGGGTAAACTTCCACTGGAGATGGAGGCAGCACTGGCTGCATGTACATCATGGAAGGCCAACAGCTCTGATGGCAATACTTGCAGGAAAAGGAAAAACACGGTTATGCAGACAGCCACACACTCTCCTGTGCTACTTTCAGGTCTAAAGTTAGGAAAAAACTGAGCTTTTTTCTTCCCTTCCTAGCCCTTTAGGACAAATAAACAAAAAACCCCATGAAACCAACACAGCCTCCCAGAAAAGGAACTGCAATACCTGCAGCAACAGCCACACTGCTGTTGTGTCAAAAGCCTTTACAGAGGAAGAAGATTCCCACTTATTAACTTTGTCATATTCAGAGATATTTCCCATTTCTTCAGCTGAAGGAGCTCATGTTGCTCTTTTCATTTCCCAAATCTGCAGCACTGACACTGCACTGACTACTGCTACAGAGAATGCTTCAGCAGAGCAAATTTCCAGAACACAGAGAAATGGTGCTAACCAGCCTGAGCTCAGCTGCACAGCTCCTGGGGACTCCATCCACACATCCCTAACTGGTCTTTGATGTCTTATCTAAATACACAAATTCTTTTTAGAGTGGCTCAGGTTCTTCCCTTTTCTTCACAGAAAGAATATTTATCCACCATCAAAATATAAAATAAAAAGGCAAAACCCCAAAAGTAAAAGCAAAAAACCACCACCACAAACCACAGTAAAACAATTAATACGGTGTACATCACATTTTGAGGTAGAACTTCACTTCCTGAGCCAGGCTTTTAATCTCCACCAAGAAAGTCCATCCATATTAATAGTCCAGTGCACAGAATACATATTTAGGACACTTGAAAGTTTTGAATACATAAGTACATTTGTCAGGAAACCCAGCAGTTTTTACAGGCAATTTACTGTACTCGTTTTAAAAGCACTTACTTGCAATCCCATATTAAAATAATACCGCAAGACCTTTGTATCTGAAATTAAAGGATAGGACATTAAAGAGCAGAGGAATATAAACCAAGAAGCAAAAGCAACTTACATTAAGAACATTTTATTTGAAGTTATTCTTACTTAATGAGTAACAGTATTTCAGCACTACCTTTTCTTTAAAATTTCAAGGCTAAAGAATGCATCTTCAACAGAGTTAAAAACTAGTTATTAAACTAGTTTTATCTTTAGGTAAATCCAGCTTGATGTTTGTGCAATAGCAGAGCATTTGTCTGACCAGTTATTAAATTCAATGACTACATTAGCTTTAATTTTGGTTTATTCATCTTGATTACTCAAGTCAGAACTCAGTTTTGTTTTTTTTACAAGTCTCCACACTGTCTAAGCAACTAGGACTTAACACAGAGCAATCCTAACAACCTTCTCACCAAGTTTTGGTGCTCCCCAACTGTTATATAAAACTCAACAGAAGCAGGAATAAGATATATATTCCTTCCTCACAAGGGTATTCAGCTCCCTGCTTTCTTGCAGAGTTTTTTACTTCTGTCTTCCCTGTTCTGAACCATTTTTTCCCAGCCAGGTAAATGATATTCTGAGGAACATTCCCAGGTGTGTGAAGAAACTTTGAAACCTCTCTCCAAAAGCAACAGGGTTTTGAACTTGGAAACACATTTCCAACTGCCCAAGAACTGTGAAGCAGCTTTAAACCTTTAAAGTTGACCCACTGAAAGGGCAAAAAAAAAAAAAAAAAAAATAAAGAGGGTGTGTGTTTAATCCCATGATGCACTGGAACTGTGCATGAGAAAAACTGATTTCTTAGATTTCAATCCAGATTTGCTTTGAAGGCTCAGGAAGAGCAAGTGACCTATTCCACAGCACAGACTCTGAGCTCTCAGCTGTACTAAAGCCAAGGGAAAGCAGGGAGACAACTCAAAAGCAGCCACTACAGGATTCAATTTAGCAACACCTCCAGAGTTACTGTATTCCATTTTCACAAACACCCACCCTGCCCTAGACCAGGCTCTGCAGTGCTTCCCATCTCCCACATCTTTCCCAGCCCTGCTCTCTGTGTTGTGTTTTGCTGCAGGAAGGCAAAATCAACAGCAAAGCAAACCAGAATTTTAAAATGCACGAGGATTTGTTCCTCTGTCTCTGCTGTCAATTCTCAGTTCTTCTACATTTCAGCCCATCTATCAGGGCAACAATCCATGCAGCTGTTTTAGGAAATGCACACAGATCCTGACTCCTACAAGTGTTGGTGGTCTGGCTATAACACTGACCACAGCCAGTAAAATAATAGAAATACTCCAAAGGCTTACACGAATACAAACTTCTCAGTATATAGCTTAAATTCCATCTATGCCTGGAAAAAGTTGGTGGTTTTTTTTTTTTTTAAACCCAATTTTGTTCTTCAATTGTTTATGCAAATCTATGCAAAGCAAGCATAAGAGCTGAATGAAACAGCTGCTCCCATAGCAGCGATAAGAGTACAAAGGAACTGCTGGGAGACTGAAGTGACAAACTGACATTGGAAATACTGACATCTGTGGAATGATGGAACAGAAGCCAGTACAGTAGGAGATCAGTTTTTGTTTATATTCCTCTTTTAGATGTCTGGAAATCAAGTTCATCTTCAGTAAAACCTTATGAAGCAACAGCTAAGCCAAAAAAAGTTGCCCCTCCTGACAAGAAAATATAAAGACCACATTGATGCCTGATAAAAATCTCATCTCCTGACAGAGTTTTTAGTGCTGTTGAGAAGCTCTGACCACCACAGTGTCTGTGGAACACAGCAATTTCAAGCAGGCTTTATCAACAGCTCCTTCAAATACAAGGCCGCAGGCAAGGGCAGGACACCTGAGGTCACGGTGTTAATAAACACACTCAACAAGTCCTAAATGCCATTAAGACAAGATACAAGATGCTATGAAAACTGGAATAAATGGAGATACAAGTAATGCTAGAGCCCAGAGCAGAATTTCCTCCCAGGTCTAGGACTTCAGTCTGTTGACAAGTCCTGCTCCCCATATGTACCAGTGTCTTTAGCAAAGCACACCCACATACTTCACCCTGCCCTACTCCAAACTCGCTGGGTTTCTTAACTTAAAGGCCATATAGATTATACTCCCGCAGTGTTACATAAATGCTATGTGCAATATTATTAACTAGCAATCTTTAAAATTCCTGCAGTCTGTGCCAAGGAGGACAGGGCCAATATGATGTAGACTGACTCAGCTGAAGAGCTGCAGGCAGGGTCTGGAGAGGTTATTAATCCACATCCACTCCAGATTCTTGTCAGCACACTTAACACTCCATTCTCCCAAGTGGGGAAAGCCTCAGTTAAGAGTATTCAATTACAGCTGGAAAGCAGGAGCTGTGATGTGTGCATGGGATCAGTGATAGTACCACAGCAGGGAAGGGGAACCAGAACAGCCAAGAGTAACAAATCTTGGATTTGAAGGCACAGGTGAGACAGCAGAGTCACTGCAGAGCACAGCAGAAGCTCTGTGAAAGCAGCAGGCTTGGTCCCTGCCCTCTCACTGCTGAACAGCTGCCGTGGACCTTAGACACTGTCCCAGCTGATGGCAGTGTGTGACAAAGCTACACACCCAGGGAACAAACTCACCCCACACTTCAGCTAACACCACAGAATTGCAGCTTGCAGCCACAAAGGAAAACATCCAAAATGCCCCACTGAAATGTGCAACAGCACAACTTATAAATACACAATTCTTATTTTAATCAGTTGTCAGAAAAGTGATTACTCTGCCACAAACAAGTATGATATAGGCCAAACACCCTCTCCCTGTGCTTTCATTTATTTAAGATACTGTCCGGAGCTGCAATAATCAAATATTTGAGTCAGATACAAACTTGCTGTTCAAAACTGGGAATGAAAATGTTTTAGCGTAAGTATCTGTAATATTATTTCTCACTCCCTGCGAGCTGCAGAGAGCCATTTCTTCTCACTATGTATTCTCACTTGGTGTTCTGCTAAGCTTTCATGAAGAACACAAGTCAGAAATGTGCTGGAAAGCAGCAGGAATAAAAATACAAAGCACCATCATTACCTCGAGGCAAATCACTGCCACTGGGATCACAAGAGTAAGCTGGAAGAACAGCACTGGCTTCTCCCACCTCACTCACAGGGGGAAGAGGAGCTGAATAAATTGGGAATGGCACCGAAGAAACTGCTACAATTGGAAAGAAACAAACGTCACCCAAAAAGTCAACTTTGCCATGGTATGTCAAACAAGTAAGGTGTTAAGTTACACAATTCAGTATGCACTTTGATACCTCAGTGCCCCTAAAGACAGGCTCTAACAAAGTTTTGTTCAGCAATCACTTTGAAATGTGTCCAGAAGAAATTTTACAACTAAATTTTAGTTTAAAGGTTTCAATTTAATTGAACCTTCAATTTTAAGGTTTTTCAATCTCTCAAGCCTTAACTGCACTTCTATCTGCAAGCTGTATATCCCAGTTACAGGAAAAAAGTATTTTTCAATCATTTCTTCATATTAGAAGGCAGGACAGAGTTCTAGGGCAGATAGTTATGTAAGAGAACAGAGGACAGACTAATCACTTCAAAACCTCAAAAGTGTGATAGCCCACAAAAACAAGGGAAGGTTTGAGACTTATCAGGACAAAAATCTTCTGGACAGACAACTTCTAAATATTCATTTAGGTGGCCCACACCTCTAACACAGCAGCAGGTTGGCACCAGTGAGCAGACAGCTTTGAGAACCATGCTGACTAAACTCTCATGCAAAATAGAAAAGAAAAAGAGATAAGTGAGACAGAACTGAGCAGAATGGAAGGTGGAGATTTTTTAGATGCTAAATGAAAAGTTATAGAAGACAGGAGAAGTGCTCTTTGCAAGAAGGAAAATTTTTTCATAACAGCCATTTTGCAAGAGCAAAGCAGATACAGCACCTAAGGCAGAGAGTGCACCCTGTGGCTACCCACAAACCTGATCTTGCACAGAAGAAACCAAGGGTCACAAAAATAAACTGGACCCCAAAACACCACAGCCAGTGACTCTCCTAGTAGAAAAAGTGTTCTAGAGGTTTGCTACCTCAAGTCAAGAGGAAAAATAGCTGTAGGAAAGGGGAAGCGAAGAGAGCTGCACTAAACTCTGATTTCTGAAAACAATTTTCTAGCAAACACTTGGCATTAATGGTTAAAGGTGGCAAGTGGGGAACCCAAAGCCCATAAAAATTCCCATAAAAATTTTGGGGCAACAGCCCCTTCAAAACAAGAAGTCAGCTGCCAAGTTACAAAGTACAAAATTTTAAACCAAAGCAAGTGACACTTTTTTTTTTAAGCCTTTTAACACTTGTGGATGGGGGGAGGAAGGGAAGGGAAAATGCAACTGAAAACTTGGAAATCCAAGTCCACAGCTGCAGTCTGTACACTCTACCTGGCCTCCCCACAGAAAAGGGAGATACTATGACAGGTTGAACTGCTGTTTGTGGGGGAGCTGCTGTTATGACACTGGCTGGAGTGGAGGCAGCAGAATTTGAAGAGAGACCTGTAGCTGGAGCAGTGTAAACATCTGTGGAGGTGGAAACTGTTGCAGAGTTCACCAACACCTGGAAAAGAGTCAAGAGTATTCAACAGTCTGCCTCTGCAACTGGCTTGACAAAGACTATGAAAATACCACATACTTCAAAAATTCTCACTTCACACAAAACCAGCTTGTAAATCCTAGCTGTAAAAGGCACTAACTATCCAAACTCTCTAAAAATTGGCTTGAAAATACCAGTTTAGAGTTGCAGACACCTGTAAGGCATCTTCTGTTTTGCCTGTATTTGCAGGGAATTGCATTTTCTGCTGCCTGAGGCTGTGAGGGGTGGTCCTCACAAGCTGTCACAGTCCAAGCAGAGTGGCTACCTCTGCACAGGGCCACCACAATGAAGTGTGAGATACAACTCAGAGTATCAGACACTACCTTCTGGGGATAGCTGTAGGAGAAACCACTTCATCTTGAGGTGACACCAAGACTGGCCCTTCTTCCTGAAGGGATTCCAAAGCAAAGCATGGTCCATTTTCAGTGGCAAAAAAAGCCACAGGGCACACACACCACACCTATTTTTAATTTTTAAATTTATGGATTATACAGCCAGAGTGTCTTTTGTAGCTCAGCTAAACAGTTTTATTCTGACATGCTTAGGACTGCTTTCACACCCACTGTGGAGCAGCAGGTGACTAAAGATTCAGTTTCAAGTTAAAAAAAAATAAAAATTAAAAACTCCAAGATAAGATCTATCACAGATGAGATCTCTCCAGTCCCACAGAGAAGGACCAAGATTAACTGGTGTATAACCTGAAGGGTGGCCTGATAAAAGCAAGTGCTCTCTGGAGCAGAGAAAGAAAAGTAAACAACACTCAAATACACACTCTCTTTGCAGAGGGAAAGAAGGAAAATCATTAATGTGTATCCCATGCAATTCAGACTGTACTTGCAGACTCAGATAAAAACCTCACCATTCAGGGAGAAAAAGGATGGTGAATATATAAAGGAATACTAATTTAATTTCTTTTATTATTAAGTCTCTGGCCTACTATGCATCCAAGGGCAGCTTCCATGAATGCCACGCACCTCAAAGATCTCCATTCTGAAGTCTGTGAATAAAACTTACCAGGTTTGCTGTAGGTTCTGCTGAACTAAACACTGTTGCAGTTTCACAGTTGGGATCTGGAGGATACAGGCAAAATTAATTGAAAAGAGCTGCATTAAATCTAATCCTTCACAAACTTATAAAGAGGCCATAATTTGAGTGTATTACATTCACCAAATATTCCATCAGTAAAATCTGAACAGGTATTTACTTACCTGGAGGTGCATAAATATATTCCTCATGATATTTCCCTAGAAGGGAGAGAGAACAGGAAGTTTTCATTCAGAGGAAAAAAAGAGGGGGGAGCATAAAAGCTTAAAGCTGCAGTTACTGCAATTACATTTCAGTGCATCTATTAATAACCTGCTTTCAGTATCATCTCACTTTGTCTCATTTAGGAGATGTAAGGAATCTACTTTTGACAATGAAAAACACATTGACAAGCTCTTTATGTTTTATTTTTTTTTTGCCTATCAATCCTTTAGGAACTCACCATTTTCACTTGCTTCTTCATCCTCTAAGGCACTCAAGTTCTGCTTGTTAGAAGGAGCAGAGTTTGGACCCCTCCTTGCTACCCAGAATGCCCCTGGACCATGGACAATGGGAGCAGGGCTACTGTGGCTCTGAAAAGCCAAGCCAGAAGCACACATTTAGAAACAATTTAAAACATTTCCATGCTCTACAGACAGACACACAAACAGGCTGGCAGACCCAGCTTGCTGCAACCAAAGCATCATCTGTGTGTCCACTCCAAAGCAACAAACATTTCTTCCCTTTCCCTTCTGTTCTGCCTTGCATACTTAAGGGAATTTCAAAGCTTTACCATTGTCCTGTGCCATGCAGTCAAGCTGCTCCCTCCCAGAACTCAGCCAGCTTTATCCCAAGCTCTAACAAAGCTGTAAAGGAGGGAGCAGATCCCAGACAAGGCTGCTACCCCCCAACATGTATTAGTGCAGTCCTCATTCTAGAGCATTCCCCCCACAGCAGCAGCAGATCAGATCATCCTAACACTGATGATCATGGAAAAATATCATCTTTAGTCACAACTAGTGGAACCAAGAGGTGGCTGCTGGCATAGACAGCAGTGTCTGCACTACGCTGACCCACACACACAACCATGACTATTTCAGGGAGCAGCACATCCCAAGGTTGCCCACAGCACTCCTTCAATGCTTTACATGCCCTTTGTTGCTGCACTGAAATTAGTCTTTGGCTGCACCCCAATTTAAAAGATCATTTCTCTGAAGGAGGAATATAGGATTGAGATGCTCGAGTACGAGTTGATTCACTCTTTGGTGATGGCTAAGGTGATACTCAAAACTCTTCTCAGAAGACACTGGTGACTATGAGATCGATAAAGTGCTCAGAGAGGCTTGAAAGATTTCCAAGGTTGAAGCAGAGGTGGTAAGTCAGAAGATTGTCCCACCAGGCCTCTAGCAGCATGGCAGAGTCCTCTGTGAGATGCATCTTTCCCCAGGAAATGTCACATTCCTTTACTAAACAAGACAAGGAAGAGACAGAGAAAAAGCTTTGGCATTGACAAGAAAGTCACTGAATGAACATGAAAACTATTCATTAGGAGCTGCAGGCAAGTCTAGCAAAGGGGGAGAAAAAGCCACTGAGCAGTATTGATTTCATGTTGGAAAAAAGAAATTGCAAGATAACGTGTCCTTGTTCCTTGGCACTCATGGAGGAAAAAATCAGAGCAAAGATTACAGATCTAGTACGTCAGAGCAAAAAAAAAAAAGATTGGTGCTGAAACAGCCCTAAGCATATTCTCTCTCCCTCATTTAAATACAAGTCTAACACTAAAGTTCACTGCTTCAACACAGCAAAAAAATTCAAACATACCAGGTTGGTTTGGTTTTTTTTAATCTGTTTTCCTATTCAGATACCTATGTATAAATTGTTCTGGTTTGTTTTTTTTTAGCACACCCAGCCTTGGAATAGGTTTAGACTACAAATGAAGGGAAAAAAAAAAGCATTTTAAACTTTAAGAGTACACTTTGCCAATTTATCTACAACTCAACAAAAGGACTGCTTTAAGGAAAGTCTAGGTTTGTAATTTTTTTTCTGTTTCTGTAGCAAAATAAACTGTCAGGAACAACAAGTTAATCCAAAACATCACAACTACAAATTCATAGTAAAAGATCCAGGCTATCACTACCTAGTTTCCGAATCTTGCTACCCAAACTATAAATTATAGTGTGGCAAACAAGTGAAAAGCTTTCTCCCACAATATTTAGAGCTAGACAGACAGGCACAGGAAGGAAAGGTTTTGTTTTCAAACTGCAGTAGGAAGGAGAAACATGATTATGTTTATGAAAATATGCTTAAAAGCAAACAAGTGTTGCTACTGAGAAAAAAAAAAGGGAAATATGTAGAAAAATTGAGGTTTCAAGCAGGTTTTACAGGAACTAGACTAATTTCAGTCTTCCACTATCAAAAATGCATTCATTGCTAACTCTTCTAAGAAAACCAAAAAAAGCTGTTGTATATTTAGGTAAAGAGTCACTGTGCATTTAGTTTCCCCCTCCTCCTCTCTCTCTTGGAGAGGCTTCAGCTTACCCTTTGCTCATAACTCACATGCAGAGTAGGAAAAGTGGTGTCATCGTCTCCTTCAATTTCACAGAAAGTTACAGTTTCTTCTGGCCCTTGGGGCTCCTCTGCAGCCCCTGCCACAAAGCCGTACTGGTACTCCCTGCTCACACACGGCAGCGGGCGGCGGCTGCGGCTGTACGAGCTTGGGAACAAGAGAGGAGGTGAGGAATCGGCACCACCTGCGCTTCCACCTGCCTCTGGCTGCTCGGTTTTAGCTCGGTTCTTTCTGCAGAGCCACAAGAAACCTGCTCTTTCACGCTCTGCTGCAAACAGGCAATTCATGCCCCACCATCCTCTCCAATGCCTGGCAGAGCAGTTTCTGGTGGAAGAGGTTTGTTGTCACTCACCAGGACCTGCAGGAGAAGCTGTCACAACTCTGACAGCCTCTCTTCCCTGGGCTGGGGTAGAATGCTGTTTGAGGGCCAAGCATGCTGTGCCTGTCTATAAATCAGGCAGATCCCTTGAGTTTAAAGAGGAAAAGGTGCAACTACCAGAAGTGCCTCTCAGCTGCAGTTTTACCTGAACAGCATGAACTCCTAGCCAGTCTGCAGCCAGAGTGAAACAGGCAACAAGTGAAAACTCAGGTTTCCAAAGCTTCCTACCTCGGCATCCCGGGTTCACGGTGGTGCCTGGGAGGATTCTGCGGGTGATAGGGTTTGTAGGGAGCCATGCTTGCTCCTCCCTGGGAGCAGTGGATGGCAGGGAAGCGCCCTGAGGGAGCACTGTGCTGCAGCCGGGGTGGCAGCACTGGCTGTCCCCTGCTGTAAGCCACAGCCATGAACACTTCCTTCCCACGGACTTTCTTCAGCATCCTCTTCCGTGTTTTCATGTCCATTTCTGCAGTTTCCATTGAGGACAGAAAAGAGATTTACACCTTAAACCTGAGCTATGGTCACAAATGATAAAGAGAAGACTTAATATTTGAACCCATAGAAAAGAAAGCCAGGGGCCTAGTCCAGAAAAAGTGCATTGTAAATATGGAAGCTATAGACCCTTCTTTAAAAGATTCAAGCAGGAATTCTCCATGACGAGGATACAGTTATCTGACATGGGACTACCTTCCCAGCTTCAGCTGATCCAACCAGTCCTCAGTGTTAGAATCTCTCTATGCAGGCTGATTTATAAAAGTAAAAAAACCTCACAACTCCTCCTTCAAATTCAATTGAATCCATATTTAAGTGGCTGGGGAAGCCCTGGTCCATCTGTGTATTTCTGCTAATGCCAGATCAGACAAGTTCTCTGGTTCACTGGTCTTTTAGATGGTTCTCAAGTGGCCAATTTGTCCTCGGCAATTTTGAGCAATACCAAATTTGCTTTGTATTTCAATGGATTTGCTCTTCTGCAAAGGCAAATCCATCACTGTCTGAAAGAGACCTTTCCATCCAACCCCCGCAGTGGCCAAGTTTTACATCACAGGGTGAATTAACTTGCTTCCCATACCCAAAGTCTGCTACAGGTCCAAGTGTCATGAGTACCTCCCCTACTTCCCCAGGGAAGGAATGCTTCTGGAAGCCTTGTACAAACCTATTCCTGAGAAGTGTCCACCCGTTACTTTCTGATAAGCTCCTCCTCTTCTGCTGTGAGCCATATTCCAAGCAAAGACAGGAGCCACTTGTGTCACTGGCTTTAAGTTTGCCAAAGGAACTGTGTGCCTGCAGGAAGGACACCCACGTTAGCAGTGCCCCAGGGATACATTCTGTACAACAACATAAGCTGAAGCAACACCAAGACAGAGGAAAATAGTTTGTGAAAATAAATAATCTGTTTCTCTGGCACCAAGAACACATTACTGCTCCTTGTTTAATTAGAAAAGAAAAGCTAGGCTTTAGTTTGAACACTATTTACTTCCTGGGTCAAGTCTCTCTCCCCTGCCTGCATTTGTGTGCCTCCAGAGGTACACCTAAAAGCAAGGGACAACACAGAATTTTTGCAGGATGTTGTCAAACCCTGCTTCAGAGAAAGGTGAATGTGTGAACAGCAAGGGGGAGAAAGTGATTACATTCACCAGAAGAGCCAATTATTTTGTTGCTTGGGTACAACAAAAACTCCAGAGAAACCAAACAGCAGAGGGTAGTTTGCTCTCTGTGAATTAATCCCAAACTGCAAAGATCACTTTTACATTCCAGTGAAGGAAGAGTAGCAAGATTTCACAGAAAGCATTACAGTAATGATTTTGGTCATTAGAAATCCAAGAGGAAAAACAAACCCCAGAAAGAGTTTAAACTTGAAGTCATCACCACACTGCTTACTTTTCTGCCAGCTCTTCAACAAATACAGTCAATGTGTTGCTATCCTGTCCAACCTCCTGGATATGAGCATTGTAATACTTTTCTCCTGGTTCTAGACACACCTGGAGAGAGAACAAGAGAAGCTCTAAAAAACCCCAAACTGCATCAGAACATTGTCCATAAACCACTAATGGCAAAGGCTGCTCCTAGCCAGCCCCATGTTACTGAGTTGGCCCAGGAGTCTCAAATACTTCTTCAAAACTGCAACCAAAACAAAGAGCACAGTACTAACTTCAGGGAAGATAAAAAGAAATAAAATCAGCCTTGTGAACAGCTGAGAGGCAAGACACCTGCTCCCTAACTTCCTTTTATCCCCTGTGTCCAGCAGATAAGTACCAAGGAAGACTGCTGCTTAAGAACTTGGAGAAGATAAAGTAGGAAAAGGAAAGCCCTGCTCAGTGAGAAGTCACTGAGTAAATCATTAGCACTGCCCTAAAGAGTGATAAAAAAAACAACCCACCTTTATTACATATGAAATCAGAAGACAAAAAACTGACCTTCCTTTCAGTATCTCCTGTCCAGATCATTTTAATCCTCCCTTTTTAGCTCTTCCCTTTTTATTTTATAAAAATATTTTGCTACTTCACTGTTGAGAAAGGTAAGACTATCCAGAATTGTTGCTTGGCCCAAGTAAAAAAATCTAAAGACAACTACATCAAAAGCACCCTGTGCATTTTGAGCTCTGCCTGGAACTTCCACACTCAGAGAATGAGGATGACTGGTTTACACTGAATCCCCAAACTGCTTTTCTATCACACTACCAAGTTTAAAGGTAGATTTCAGAAAGAAATTACATTTAAAAGAACATCTACAGGGAAGAGAATGAGAAAAGCATTAGAAAGTTCTATGAAATCGAATGATTTCATGGTTTATCACAGTCTATTTAAAGTAGTTTTAACAATTGATCATAACTGGGTCTCCTTTGAGTACTAACCTGACACTTGTCTCCTAAATAGTACTGTCTCCCAGCAAACACCATGTAGTCAGTTTTTTGAAGCTCTAAAAATAAATGAATAAATAAATAAAAGGGGGGAAAAAAAGCCTTTAAGCTACCATTCTTCACACATCCTACAAGTACTTCATGACAGCATCCAACTACAATTTACAGGCCAACTGAGTTAAATCCTTCCTGTGCATACCCCAACATTTCCCATAGTAACTGTGGAGTAACTCTAGATGTTCTTGCAATAAACCATAACCAGGCTAAGTCACATGAGACCAGGAACAGCCAGATAATGCAGCAAGCAGCACTACTACAACACTGCAGCTTCTGTGGTGGCACTGAGCTAAACCCTGCATTTAATACAAATCCTGAAATTAAGAAGGTTGGACATCTCTTATCTTGCCAGAGTTCTGGTGGCACTTGGCAAATTTGAAATGTCATCCAGGAAAAGCTAACATTGCCTAAAGTCTCCTTGCTGTTAGATTTCAGCTTTTTTTTTACCTCTGTTCCTTGCCTGGCTTCTCTGCACGTCAGTATTCTACACAGATAATTGGTTACCACACTCTGTTCCAAGAATTTTAATGATCCTCATTACTGATTACGCCGTGGTAAAATGCTGGAGTTTTTCAGCATGCAAAGCACTTTGGGTCAGACATCAAGTATCACTTAAAAACTTATCTTTCTTGGTAACTTCTTGCTTTACAGATCAGCCACAGTGAATGCCAAAAAGCAGCCAACCTTTCCCAAGCTATGAGAACCATGAAATCTCCATAGAATGTTTGAGCCCAGGAGGGCTGGGAGGCAGGAGAAAAACTCATCTGACAGATCTCAATGCTAAATTTAAGATCTTCATTATTATACAATTCTGGGGCCAAAACTGTGCTCTAAAAAGAATTCTTTGCACACATGCTGTAACAAAAAACTCATATTTGAATGCTTTCCAATACAACAGAACGGCAAGAAAGTTCTGTGCTCCGTTTTGAATCCTCCTATTTCCTGTGTACAATCAATAAGCAGCAGGGATCAAATTTTTAGCAACCTTGTACCATTATATTGTATCAGAAGCTGGGTGTTTTGTACTTTGAATGCCAGACAGGAAACCAAGAACGTATCCTACCTACAGCTATCTGCTGGGTTCACCTGTGCCCTTCACATTTCAGCTGAAGAAACAGGTGACAGGACTTAGATTCATAAATTTAATGCTAACCCTACTACAGGAAGGGTTTTTTGGCTTTTCCCTTTCCAAAGATACCTTTTCTGCTGTCCAGCCAAACATCAAACTCCACATTTCGATAGATGGTAGAGTCCAGTGCTTTTAGCACTTTATAAGGAACAGGCATCTTTGGAGGATTTTCTGGAGGCTAAAAACAGAATTGGAACGGAGCATTAAGAAGTGCATTTCATGTGTTCAGCACAGTCTCTATCCTGCCAGCATCTGTGCACCGTTTTAAAAAGTACAGATGCTATTTTCCAAAATATTCACTTCCACTGTATTTCCCTAAAAACTAAAACTCAAGAGTCTGAAAACAGATCCAGGCACTCAGGTGCTGAGCAAACTGACTCTGGAAAGCAGAACAGGCTCAAGAGTAACACTTGGCATGTTCTGTACTCAAAAAGAATCAAAGGAAGTCAACCAGATCAATGAAGCCACAGCTTCAAAAGTTGGTGAGAACTTCAGTTATTGTATCTGAAAACTCTACTTCTGTAGAGCTTCTAAAAGTATTTTGAAGCAATTTATACTACAGTCAAAGACAAAAATTAACTAATTTAAACCACATTCTGGGAAAAATAAACAGCAAATCAGGAAACATCCGCTAAGCTCCATCTTTTGGGGGAAATAAAAATCAGCTAGAGAAAAACTAGAGAATTTCAGAAAGGAAAAGAGCATTTCCAATTTAAAAGAAACTCAAAGGCAAAACCAAAAGACAAGTAGATGGAAGAAATAAGCCATCTACTTGTCAAAAATACATTTTTAGAAAGTGGTAAAGAGGATTTAGCCCTAACAAGGGTGGCATCATACAACAGAAAAAAACCCCAAAAAACCCAAAAGCAAACCGTAAGGATTTTAATCCAAACTGCCAAACCTTTTGTTCTTCAATGCCTTGTTTGAACTTGGTTTCCTGTGGGTTGTCAGTATCGTTGCCTTCCCAATCATCCAGCCTAAAAAAATTAAAAATAAGATTACAAAAGCTCCAACACATGATTTCTAGCCAGGATTAATATCACCAACTCCTCATACAACCTGAAAAAGCACCATGGTGCCATCAAGTGGCACATTTTGCCTTAAACACCAGCAAGGTGCAATGCAGTGCAGGACAAGCTTTTTCCAAGTTTTAAGAACTTGACCTTTGCCTGTTCCAAAACCCACCCCTTAATGAGGGCTACTGTTTGCATTAGAAAAGGATGAAAGTGATCCCACTGATTGAATTCTTGCACTGTCAAGTACAAAAAGACACTCTGTGCCAGGTACCACCAAACCAATGCTGTCTGCAAGCATTTGGAGGTAGCTCTCAAGCCTTTTAGAGCTATGGAGGCTTACAAGAGTAAAATAAAAATTATAATAAAGCTCTAACAAATAAGGAGCAATTTTACTTACAAATAAGCTGTCGTTTTACAGAGTAACACAGAACTATAACAGCCTGCAGCAGAGGATATTCAGTTATGTGACACTTCCCAGCTTCCAAGGAAAGCACACTCTCTTCCATGATATACTTGAGCTTTGTGTTTGTGTCATAATGTAGGAAAAGAAGAGTTAATAGTCCATAAAAATTCATAGAAACTTGGAAAAATTGTCCTCTGCAAGGTTTTGAAGGTTTTGTATTTTGTTTTTTTGCTTCCCTCTTACCAGATCCCATTCCCAGCACACTACCTCTTTTCAGATGGATTTCTGGGCACTTTTTCATGGAGGCAACCAAAGTTTGCATCCTCACTCTCTACAGGAGCACTGTTTCTGTTCTTCTTGGATCTACTTCGAAACACCTCAACTGCAGACCTTAATTCTTCCTCTTCCATGCCAAACACATCTTTGTAGAGGATCTCATATAATACAGCTGAACAAACCAACACAAAGCTTGGTAATATAAAATCCATAAGAACTCCTGCAGGTTTCATCAGGCAGATCTTCAGGTATTATCTACTGTTACAAGACAGTAGTGACATCAAATGCAGCTTAGGATAGGATCGTAACTTAGTTGGGAATTAGGGACCTCTGGAAGTCATTTGGCCCTACACCCATTTAAGAGGTAAAAAATTAGTCTATGCATAAAAATATACCATAAGTGAGCTTCCATTTCTCTTCTCCCCACACCTGAAAATTGAAACCTGCCTCTAAAGATATGAAAACACACAATTCTCTTCCACAGAAAAATTATTTCAAATTTACCCTGACAAACGGCAGCATTTTCCTGAAATTGTTTTGTATACACAGAGTCATAATGGCCGTTACTGGAACAACACAGTAAAATCTGGGAAAATAAAAAAAAAAAGTTTTAAGGCTGGAATGATAGAATCTCAAATTCTACTATCCTTTCATTCTACAGTTGACATGAGCTCATCACGAAAACAGTAAATATTCTCAATATAAATATGAAAAAGCTGTAGCATCAGCTCAAAATTGAAATCTAGGTAAAGCCCCCAAGTAACTTTGTATCATACAAAGAAAAAAGAAAACCATCTGTACATCCTGCTGTATTGAACATGAAACAGGAGTTTGTTTCCAAGACCACCATTTGCTCAGAAAGTAAAATAAACACAACCCATTGAATGCAGCACTCCGAGAACACACTGTCCGAAGTGTGAAAGGCACATTTCATCCTTCTCTGCCTTAAAGACTAGAAGAGCATTTACTTCTCTAGCCCTTAAAACCTTGCTTTTAAGAAGCAGAAGAGATGTTTCCTGCAACTCATGCATTGATACACCATGTAAACATGTCCCACCAAGCTTTCTGGCACACAACCACAGGCAGCTGCAATGGGCACAAGCCCTGAGGCAGCTGTCAGCATGCTGCCAGCGAGGATGCTTCCCAGAAAGCCAGGACTCTTAATTCTGTGAGCTCTGTGGATTCTGCCAACACAAGCTCTCCTCTTGTGGTGAGGAGGAACAACACCAGAAGGAGCTGCTGCCTGAACTCAGTGTAATGACAGACAGCTGCCAACACTTAATGAGAGCTCTGGTGGGAAAGCCTTGGAGGGCAAACACAGATTTAGACCATGCTGTTTGATTTTTAAACTCAGCTCATTTTGGAATTAAATTAAGCTACACAGGAAGCTGTGTAGATAAAGAACGAAGCACATGTAAATGAAGACAGCAATGCTCATCAACAGTTCAGTAACAGCTGCAGCAGCACAGGTTCAGAACGGACTGGCCACCTTGGCAAATCTAGCAGCCCACACTGAAATCCACACTGCAGCAGCTCCACTGGCATCATGCCTCAAGTAGCCACATTATTGTACACCCATGTCTACACAGCTCCAGAAAGCACCAGAGGGGTCAGATGCAAGGTAATACAGAGTATTTGTCCTTTATGCTCCTTCCTTTTGCCCCCAGCAGTAGTTCTGATGTAGATAAGCTGTTCCAATAGCTCCCACTGTGAACTGGGATCAGTTTGTAGGTCACAAAAACCAACCTGTTTGTTTACAGTCATCCCCTCCCATTAACTTCCCCTTCTCAGGGGAAAAAATTGCACAACTCATCCAGCTTCAGGAAAAGTAAGAAAATAGACTGGCAGAGGAACAGAAGGAAACTGCCCTCACATCTACTGACCTTGTCTTCAAAGCCACTGTCTGTAGCATGTGTGGGTGGCTTCCCGGGGTAGCGGTACACGATGAAGTCTCGCCTAGGTAAGCAGAGGGAAAACAAGACTTGCAAGAGCACACTTTCAGTAGAACCATGCTGTGAAGAAGTTCCCTGGGAGCAGTTTAGAGCTGTCGGTTTGCAGGAAAATCAAGCAAAGCACTTCTGATAAATGAATGGTACCGTAAAGCAACAGCCAGGTGAGCAAACCCATCTTGAGGGGAAAATAAAAATTATCTGTGAAAAATCATGATATTTACTCACAGATTAAGTCAAATACTTATGTTTACAGAAGGGTGCTCAGACACTGAGACAATTCAGTCTAAGTGATTTAAGCACCCTGCAAAAGGGCTAGAACCTCAGTGCAGGGAGCTAGTAATTCTTGCCAAGGTTCAGTTGTTCTTTAGTACTGTGACAGAATGAGCCTGCAAAAGGTGGTCTCTAATTTCTACCACTAGAGAGCCAGACTGCTGTAAACTGTAAACAACTGTGCTACCTCAGAAATAAATAGCAGTGTTTACACACCAGGTAGGGCAGATACTCCTCACTTCTGGAGCTTTCAAGAACACCTACATGAGTTTTACTCATGCTTTTAACTACCACACAGTGTTTCCACCGCACACAGCTCCTTGGTTTCCCCCATTTTCCAGTCTTCAGCCACTAGAAGCAAACACTTGACATTCAAGTTTAATAGCAGCAAAAAGATAACAAATAAGCATCTCTGGAAACTGACCCTGCCCTTGATCCCCATCAGAACAGGAGCTGTGACGGCACCATTTAAATGTCAGTTAAGTTTAGGTTTAAGAAAGCATTTCTTATCATGTTTCAAACATTCACCTCTCAGGGGCAAACACAAAGAAAGTTCTGGGGCCAGAACTCCCACGCCAAGTGCTGAACAAAACAAACCTCAAGAAAGGGGTACTTACTTGTACATCATTGATAAAGCACTTATTTCCAGCTGGCCAGCACTCTCCTATACAAGATTAGGAGATTATGTGAGATAAGAGAGGCATCTAAACATCAACAACTATATTCTACATTTCTGTAGTATTAAAATACCTATTCAAGCTCATCAGTTTGTTAAAGCAATAATGCACTGAAAGTTGAGATCCAAAGATTTGGGGGAGACTGAGGGGAAAAGGGCTTGCTATATGGGGTGGCCACAGTTCCCATAATTAGTAAGACTGAGCTGCTGCCAGAGCTGCTCCAACACATCACTTTAGATTAATTTTTTTTAAACCCACATTTGTTGCAGAAGCTGCAGCATTCACCAAAGTTACTGGTTAAAGACTAAAGAAATAGAAGTTTGAACAGTAAAGGAAGAAGCAGGGGACTGTAAAGCTTGACAAACATTTCATTTAAGGTACACTTCATATATTTTGCTTTTTTCTTTTTAAAAAAAAAAACTACAGTTGTGAGTAAGCTTTTACTGTCCAGCCTGTAGAGATTGCTCCTTTGCACCCATGCAAATTCCCCACTATAACTGGTATTGTTTTTACATGCACAGTTTACTCACATTTATTCAGCACAAACCCTTACTATAACTTATGCAATTGATTCCCCAAGAGTTGGATCTAACAAAGCCCCACAAACTCAAAAAAACACATTTTAAATAATTACCTAAACACCTTCCTGTTCTAGTCTCTTCAAATTTAAATCTTTTAGTAAGTCTTAGATCAGGCTTACCTTTGGATCTCCTAGTCGTTCTAGGTATTTCTCAAATGAGCCTTCCACATACTTTTAACAAAACAAGAAAACAAATACAAAAACTTAGGCTCTTAGTTAGAAAACAAAGTTAAAATTAAACCTAAATACTACTTAACAGCTACCAGCTGTTGATTTGGAGAAGGCAAGACACATAGAACATAGGAATAATTTGGGGTATCAATGTGACAACTCCAAGAGATCCTAAAACAAAAAATTAAGGACACAAATCCAAGCAATACTCAAGTCTGTCCTAGATTAGATGAAGCACTTAAATGTGATTACAGGGAAAACACACAAACAAAAAACCCCAAAACACAACCTTCAAAAAACACATCAATACCCTACAAACCCACACTGCACACACCGGTACTTCACACAAACTGCCACAGACAAAACCAACTAAAAACTTCACTTTACGTCAATTACTCCAGGATTTCCCACCATCTGTTGATGTTAGTTTCTTGCACCAAAATCCTACAGGTTTCCCACCTAAATTCTGCAGTGGTTGCTCCACAGATAATACACACAAACACCTCATCCTACTCACTGTGTAGGTTTTAGTAACTTGCTCGTTTTCAGGAACTGCGGAACCAAAGTCAAATAAAACTTACACAACTCAAGGTAAGGATGCAGCCAACCTGTCATTTCTCCTGTCCTTCAAGCACCAAGAGTGGCAAAGCACGGTGTTCGGTGTTCTCAGTGTTAGACCACCCTGACCCCCTCCCACAGCATTTCCCAACCACACAAACCCAGCTTAGGTACAGAACACACGGTACTTACGGATTCAAACCTCGGCTGGTGCTGCCTCATAAACGAAACACAAGCTTTCCTAACTTCTGCGTGATGAATTTGAGATGAAAACAGCTGGAAAGATAACGGTAATGAAAGAGAAGACAGCAAGAGTTTAATTTACGCCTGGCGTTAGGCACGAATTCTCCAGACTAACGCCACACGAGAGGCGGCAGTGCCGAGGCTGGGGGACACCTGGGGACACCTGGGGCTGAGGGAAACCCGAGCGCCCGGAGCCGGTCGCACCCATCCCCACACACATTCCCACACATCCCCATCCATCCCCGCTGCCACCACCTCGCCCTGGGCAGCCGGCCGGCTGTCCCGGAGCCCTCCGGGGGCACCCCCGGCCCACCCCCAGCCCGGGCCGGGCCTGAGGCGCCCCGGCTGCCCCCAGCCCGGCCGGCTGCGCACCTGCTCCGAGACAGCTCGGAACAGGCAGGAGGCGTCCTTGGCCGTCATCTTGCGGTACAGCCCCAGGCTGCCCAGGTACTCGTCCATGGCCACCTCACTGAAGGACTTCTGCCCGAAGTACTTCTTGGAGCCTTTGTGCATCTTCCCGGCCGGGACGGCTGAGGCGCGCGCGGAGACGCGGGCGAGGCGCGAGGCGCTGGGCGCGCGCCTGCCGCTAATGAGGAGCCGCTAATGAGGCACCGGGCCCACCTGCGGCACCTCCCGGTCCCGGCCCCCGGCTTCCAGCCCCTCGCATGCCGCTGGAGCTGCCCCCGCCGGGGCCATTTCACGCTGTTTTAGGCCGGTTTTTAGGGTGGCCGGCTCCCGGCGGGGGAGCGCATCCCGAGCCGCGGGGAGCGGCTCCTCCCGCACCTGCCTTGGCTGAGCTCGCTCCGTCACCTTCACCGCTCGAGCGCACAGAACCAGCGGGAACATCGCTCCCATGGTTATCCGAAATCCCCTCTGCGCTCCGGCCTCGAGGGCAGTTTCTAGCAGTGGGTTTGAAATAACTCCATAGAAATCGTTACGGGAGTGAAAGAAAAATCTTAGTCGCTCCCAATTGAGTATTTGGGGTAAACTTTGGGGGCTTGGCAAAACTGACCCTTGCACAACTTATGCGGCCTGATTTATTCCACCTGTAGTCTTTTGTGATTGATTTGAATGCCTCTACATTTAATTTCCTCATAAAAATTGTATTTAGACACTGGATGGGCCAATTTAATTGAGTTTAATTTTAAGGAGTTTAATTTTCTTGTTTTAAACAACAAAAGCAAATTCCCCCCCCCCCCCCAAAAAAAAGAAATGTCCTTGTAGGAAAGGCAATTAGCACCAATTATACACATCTAAAGTTCTAGAACATTAGAGGCCTAAGAACATGCATGAACATTTTAAACCTTAAACCACCTTTGGTTTTCAAAATACTTGAAGAAATCAATGTAGCATCAACATCATTATCAATATTTTAAATGGGAAGCTCTGATCAGCATCAAAGAATCCCAGAATGGCTTAGGTTTGCAGGGACCCTAAAGTTCATCCAGTTTCAACCTCCCTGCCATGAGCAGGGACACCTTCCACTATCCCAGGCTGCTCCAAGCCCTGTCCAGCCTGATTTTGGACATTTCCAGGGATCCAGGGCCTGCCCACCCTCACAAGGGAGAATTTCTTCCTTACATGTAATCGAAATAGGAAACACTGGCTGTGGAGAAGTCCAAATAGATGGGTTAGGATGGGGTAACACCATGCAAAAGGAGCAATTGTATTGCCAAGCCCATTCCTGTCCTGTTTTACTTTGTGGGTAAATCACCCAAACACAGGGCAGCAGTTTGGCAGCTCCTTGTGACTTTTTCACCACATGTGCCTTTTTCTCATTTTAAGCTTAAATCTCTCACTTTTAAGCTCTTTTCAGTGCTCCTGTAAACACATGAAACAAGAGCCGAAGGCATGTGCAGAACATCACAGGAACATTAACAAAGACAATTTATTTCCACCTGTACTTGACAAAAATGGTCAAAAGGCCATTGTACACATGCCATGCCTGTAAAGAAGTAGTTTTGTTTGTCCTCATCACTGGAATTACCATCCCAGTGCAGCTTTTGTGATAAAAATATCTGTCCATGCAACTACACAGTCCATACTCCCTCCCCCTTATTGGCATTGTACTCTTTTAAGCATAAAGCTGAACGAGTTTGGCACTAAAATGGAAGCCATTTAATCTCAGTTAATATTAAATTATCTATTTTTTGACTGTTTGGCCCAGTTGCTAGATCTTAAGCGTAGGAAATGAGACATTTTATTCCAACTTCTTTATTTCTCCATTTTGTTTATTGCAACCCAAGAACTTTATCCAAGAATGAAGCAAACTTTTCTGGCTGTCCAGGAGGAAAAGGTTTCAAAGCTGACAAGTCCATTGACTGCAGTGTCTCCACAAGAGTGCTGTAAAAGCAGACAAAAAGCAAAAAATTAAAGAAGAAAGATCCATCCCATAGGATTTTTTTAAATACAATTTTCTTTCTATTTATCCACATATAATTCCTTAGCATGGAAATATTAAATAAGGGTCTGTATGGAAAGGAAGAGAATGCACAGAGCAGCAGCCCCAGCCAGCACTGGCTTGCATGCAGCATTGCTGAGAACACACTTCTCTATCAACTTTTAGAGACAAACTCGAACTTTTAAACTTTTTAATCCTCTGTGGTTGCAATGCTGGGAGACTGAATAAGATCTGAGGCTCTTCTCCATAAAGCACAGGAGGAAATACATCCTATTTGAACACATGGCAGAATTCTCCCCTGATCAGAGAGCCAGAAAGAACAGCTATGTCAATCTGTTACTTGCTATTATCAGGCTGCAAATAAGGCTCAAATGCTTGGCACCGCCCAACACAAAGAAATAAAAGTTCCAAAGCTGACAGAAGCACCAAGATAATGAGTTTAAGAAACTTGTTAAGTGTAAACGAATGCCAGGCCTGGTCTGTTCAGAAAGCTCTTCTGAAACATGTAATTCTGCTGGCAGGGCAAAGGAACAAGATGAAGACTAAGTAATGGGAGTGACATTTTCTCTGCCTTCAGTTTAAAAGTCATCTGTTATTTTAAGAGTGGAGTCAGTCACAAGCAAAGAGAAAACAGTAAGACACAGTCAAAACCTGGAGAATAAATAAACCCAACAGGAGTCAGGATGAACTCTAAAAAAAGGAGCTAGGTGGTTTTGGGGACTGTGGGATTTTTTCATGTGTTGTTTGCTTGTGGGGTGGGGTTTTTTGGTGTGTTTTGTTTCATTTGGGTTTTTCCCCTAAAGTGACAGGCACTAGATCTGTGAAACCCCTTGCCAGAGGGTATGGTGGATTCAGGAAGTTTGGTTAAAAGGGCAGCCTGAATAAGTACTTGAAAAGCAGGAGTACTTAAAGTTACTAACCAGATAATATCTGATTTATTAATCTCCCTGAATTCAAGTGTTTTTCTTCTTTTAATCTAAATACATGTACCCTCAAATGGAAAAAAAATAATTAAAAGAGGCCATGGTCAAAAGGCTTGGTAAGTGTGGTAAATTACTACCTAATGTTAGTATTCACTCTGGAAAATCTAGTATCCAGATGGAGATTACAGAGAAGGATGTACATTTAGTTGTTTGTACATTCTCAGTTCTGCAGTCACATGGACTGAATGTTCTTGTCCAGCAGGAACAGCCACAGCAGCTCCATACCTGCAGTTACAGTAGAGGACACAGCCATCTCTGTGGAGCTGTTTGGCCAGCTCAAGCTGATGGTTGTCCATCAGCTTGTCATTTATTACTACTATTAGTGGTTTTCCTTTCTCTAGAGTCTCCAGGCAGCTACCAGCACCTACAAAAGAAACAGAAAACATGGTGAGAGATGAAATATCCCCCTACTTGCTGCTGAAACAGGGGAGCCTCTTGAACAACCCAACTCTAGCTGTGGACCTCAGCACTCCCAGCCAGCCCACCCCGGAGCCGGAGAGATTCACCCCCCGACCTCCCGCAGCCCGAGGAAGCAGCCGGGGCTGTACCTGCATGGCTGATGACCAGATCTGCCCTCTGCAGCTCCTCAGCCAGCGAGTCCTTGAAGCGGAACACTTCCACCGCCACGGCCGAGCTGCTGCAGGGCTGCGCCTGGGGCAGCGAGCCCCGGCCCACCTGCAGCACCAGCTTCTGGTACCCGCGGCTCTGCAGCGCCTGCGGGGCACGGGAGAGATGGATGGAGGGGATAACGGGGCTGGGGACGATGGGGAGGTGCCGGGTGGGAGGATGAAGAGAGGGATGGAGAAGAGGGGGATGATGGAGAGGGAGCGACGGGAGTGGAATAAGGCGATGAGGCGGGGATAGGGAGGGTGTGTGAGGGGTGTGCCCAGCTCCCGACTACCCCGGCCCGGATGCCGATGCCCCCTCCCCTTCCCACCGTCCCTCCCATTTCTCCACCAACACTTCACGCTTCTCCCCGCGGGACCCCCCACACCCCCGCTCCGGCCCCCTCAGCGCCAGGGAGGGCGGAGCAGCTCATGGCGCGCAGGCGCCATCGCCGTGACGGCAGGCCCGGGCCGGAACCGGAGCCGGTGTCTCGGCCGGCTGACCTGCAGCGCGGGCGGGGAGCCGGCGGCGGCGATCAGCTCGTCGAAGCTGGTGGTGCCCACCGTGACGAACACGGACTTCATGGCCGCCGGGACGGGGAGGGACGGGCCGGCCGCGGGGCCGCCAGGGGGCGCCGCGCGCCCGCGCTGCGCTCCCGAAATGGCGGCCGGGCTGAGGGGAGGGACGGGGCGGGCGGGAACGCCCATTTCCCTCATGGGCCCGGCCCTCCCTCTCCTTCCCCGTCCCTCCTTGTTCCCTACGATCGTTTCTGGTCCTTCCCCGCCCGGTTCGTCCCGCTGCCTCCGTCCAGGCGAGGCAGGTGCCACGGCGCTGTGGGGCTTTCCCCCACGGTGCCACACCAGCAGGGATGGTGGCCGCTCTAACGAGCCCACTGTCCGGCAGCGTTTAGAGGGGTAGGCAAGACTGTTTCATGTTTTTAGACTGTCAAGGAGGAGAGATAAAAAAGAAATAAATTTGGAAAAGGGATTCGGAAAGTTTTGGTGTCCACGTGTTATTTCAGCACTGGGGAGCCACGTAAGTCGCGGGCAGCCTGTCTGGGTGTGCTCAGAACTGCCATTGCCAGAGCAGGGCCACAGCCACCTTCCCTTTACAGACTGACATTGTCCCCAGCCTCCCACACCGCTGACTGGGGGAGTAACACTTTAACTTCTATCCCAAAATTATGAATATTAAATATGTTAGCACACTCTTGTTCACTGAAGAGTAAGAATGACCCCTGAAGAGTTCCACAGAAGGAGCTGGCAGTTTTGTTTCTTAATAGTAAGTGTATCACAATGCACAATGCTACAAAGATAAACCAAAGTTAGATATCTAAATCTGTTTATTCCCTGAATTAAATTCAATAGATGGGGTCACAACTGTATACACAGTTGTGTATGCAGTGTTCGAAGAAAGATGCAGCTGTCTTGAGGATACCTCTGATTGCCATGCTAATGCCTTGTTCACAACGCTCATTAGCCCCCTGTTGTTTTCATTTAGCATAATGAGCCACGCTGAAATGTACTTTATTTTTTGATTAAAGCAAGTAGTGCTGACAGCAGAGACTTTCTGGAGGAAAAATGCAGTAGAACAAAACAATACTGGTGTCCTAAAGACACAGTGACTTAGTGGCTCTGCCCAACCTTATCCAGCTCTTGCTGTTATCCCTCAGGAAAAGGAATCGGGGAGCTGAATGTGGCCACAACGTGAGCCAGGTAAAGATCTCTCCAACAAGGCATGGTCTGGTGACCATCCAGCAAAGACATGGACACAATGTCAGTCCAGGAAACCCAAACAGCAGCTCAGGAATAGAATTAGCAGCAAATTCTAATTGACCCACAAGTCACCTCTGTCGTCCCAGCATAAGAAGGACATGGTTAGGTAGGTCCAGAGGAGGGCCACAAAGAGGATCAGGGGCTGGAACACCTCTCCTGGGAAGACAGGTGGGGAGAGCTCAGGGTGTTCAGCCCTGAGAGAAAGCTCCAGGGAGACCTTAGAATCCTTTCCAGTGCTTAAAGGGGCTCCAAGAGAGCTGCAGAAGGACTTTGAACAAGGGCCTGGAGTGACAGGACAAAGGGGAAGGGCTTTAATCTGAAAAAGGGCAGATTTAGACTGGATATTGAGAAGGAATTCTTCCCTGTGAGGGTGCTGAGGCCCTGGCACTGGGTGCCCAGAGAAGCTGTGGCTGCCCCTGCATCCCTGGAAGTGTCCAAGGCCAGGTTGGATGGGATTTGGAGCAACCTGGAATAGTGGAAGGTGTCCCTGACCACAGCAGAGAGTTAAAACCAGGTGAGCTTTAAGGTCCCTGCCAACCCAAACCATGATTCTATTTAAACCCATATTTAAATGTCCAATATTGTGAGTGGAAGCCCCAGATGAAACTGGTCTGGGCAATTAGAACCTGTTAGTGCAGTCAGGGCCCTGACAGCTGTTGGACAAGAAGGTAGACTTGGGATGAAAGGAAAACGCAAAATTTTTCAGATGTTGGAGATGAGGTTCAGCACCTGGTAAAGGACAGGATAATTAAATGTTAGGAGTTTTGGTTGGTTTTCTTTGTGTGTCACTGAAAATCAATGTCCTCTGAAGCTTGCACTTCCAGCTTCATGCTGTATAGGGGCTAGAAGAAAAAATATTCAAATGTAAAATTGCAGTGACTTAAATTTGTGTTGGAGTTTTCACTGGAGGATACATTCCACTTGCAGATTGAATCAGGCTTGTTAGGGTGATTTTAAACAGAAGAGAAAAGGGAAAACCATCCATTAAGGGACTGTTTCATGCTAATTTGTACCTGCTGTTTTAATTAGAAGTTGTGTAGGGCATAAGTAGAATTTTGCCCATGAGTGCTTATGCTGTGGTCTGTGAGAACTACAGATCACTCTCAAAATGAGGTACTTGGAGCTGATCCTGTGCAGTTTTAAGGCAGGTAGAGGTCATGTAATGCAGGCTTGATGCTGTGCCTTGTTTCATTGCTGCCTCTGCCCTGTGTTCCTGCAGATAAACCACACAGTGATCCCCTTCACAGAACTGACCTGCCAGTGACATGTTTGCAGTTAGATCAGCTCACTGAGCTCCACAAGCAGCACTACCAGCACAAGGGAGGTGGCAGAGCTGTGGTACCTTGGATTTAGACTGTCTTAAACATCAGGGGATTGCACCTCTGTTCACCCCTTTGTTGTCACAAACTCCAGGCACGTTCTCTGAGCCTTGTGGCTCAGGCAGCTGAGTGCCCGTACCTTTTGGGGCAAACCTTGTGTGAACCTTGCCCTGCTTGGGCCGTGCAGTCTCTCTGCAGTGCCAGCTCTCCCTGTCTAACCGGTATCTGTGTGATATTATCAGGGACAGTCCAGAAGCAGGGGCTCAATCTGACATAATGTGGTCCTGCACCCCAGGGAGCGGCTAGGAAAGGGCTGAAATGGAAGATGGCTTTTGTGAGAGCTTGCTCCCATCTGTGCTTTAGAGGGCATAATTTATATTCTGATATTTTCTTCCTGTGACAACATCTGGGTGAGAAAGTGAAGATGTCATGAGTGCAAGCTGGTTCTTTTGAGAGAGGAATGACATATCCCTCCCCTCTTCTCCTTAGCTGGTATTTGAAATGTTTCTGGATGGCTCAGTTTTGAGCACTGTCTCTTTGTATTCAGTTCAGCTTACCATAATTTGCCCAGAAAGCTCTGTAATTATATTATTCAGGGGTAAGAAAGTACATAAAAATAAACTAGTCAGCTCACATTTTTGTTTCTGAAAACTACATCCTGCCTTCAGTTTGCTCTTGAAGTCTAAAGGCTGACTCACAGCTGTGGAGATAAAGCTCTGATGACCCCTGAAATGCATGGGCCACAGAGTATCAAATAATGAATTATTAAAATATATACACCAAAAGGAAGACAGGAAACCTGTATAAGGCTACAAAATTTGATATTTTTTTGAAGAAAAAAAGCCAGTGACTGGCTAGTTATTGACTTTCCTTTCCCTTGTATTTTGTGCACAGATTGATTCTCCATATGGCTTGTGATATAATGCTGCAGTGGATGACATGAGACACAGGAGAGCAATTAGACTTCTCCACACTAAATTTATGTTATATTTCAGTACTTTTTCTATCTTTATAAATGTGCAAAAAGAATAAAGATAGTCTTACTTCTCTTTACTATTTGCTTTATATAAATTTGAACTGAAAAAATGTTTGCTTCCTTTTCCTCTCTCATTGAGATGTAGTGCTGTACCTATGAGGGTTGATAGTTTTGATGGTGTAGGGAGCTTTGAAAATCAGATGGAGGATCTTTTGGAGAATAATAATTCTTTCATATTTCTGTGATTTGGAGATGCTTGGCCTGGGAAAATAACAGAGTAGCATTTGTCAGGCAAATGTCAATAGCATACTTTGAAATATTTCATCCCATTTCTACATCCTTTGGGTTTTCTCTTTGTGGCTTTGTTATTTAGCAGCTGGATTGACAGGTGGATACACAAAGGTTCAGACTGACTGGGGACAGGGAGATGCTGGATCACCTCCTGCTCGGGGCTGACTGGCAGCAGACAGACACCAAAGCACGCGGAGGAACTCTGCTGACTAAATATCTCACGTGGAGTGGAAGAGGAGGCTGTGGCTCAGCCGGAAGGAGTGTCCACCATCTGACAGCTCTCATGGATTTTTCTGAATTTTTGCCACATTTGATCGTGTGCCTTGAAGCCCCTGGTTCTGGAATTATGGAATCACGGTTTTTAGGTTTTATGTTTCTGATTAGGAGACAGAAAACCACCCAGTGACTCTTAGGGCCCTGAAGACACAAACAGTATTTGTTAGAGATCTATAACTATGTATCTGTTTGTTACTCCCGTTTTGCTTTATATTTAAACAATGTAATGATTCATAGAGACAGGAGCTCCTGGAAGCTCAGAGTTTACTCATTTATGAAAGTTAAGTGCTGCTGGCCTCTGCTCTCAGGTGAAGCAGGAGGGCACCTGTGCCCTGGGATAGAGCACATGCTGTGTTTCAGTCTTTGTTACAGGGGCTGTGGCTCGGCTGATTTGTACCAGCCCTGGAGCTGGATCCTTACTGATGCTCGAGGCCTTTGCTTGTTCTCTGGCATAAATGAAATGCTTGCCTTAAAGAACCAGAAAATGAGCTTCATATCAAATAACATTTCTCAAAGCTGGCAATTTTCAGTAGTGTTTGGGTTATTAGGCTATTAAAGGAAATAATTTGAAGAGTGGTGGCAAGCCAGGCCAGTGTGCAGAGGTTGGAGGGAGTTGGAGGTGTGTTGGAACTCGGTGTTGTGATGTCTCCTGGCAGCTGGTCCCTTCAGCTCCTCTGGGATCCTGTGCCCGTGACAGCCTGGTACCGCTCCTTGTCTGTGGAAAACACTTGCCACCATTCCTGCCTGCTGGCCACCAGCAAACACCTCCACAGCAGTCCACTGTGTGAACACCCTGCCGCTTCATATTCCTGCTTAATCCCTCTGACAACCAAATCTATTAAAAATTCATTTTCAGCCAGGCAAATCAGACTCCCTGAAATCACTTGAGCTTTGTTCTCTGAGGGCAGCTTGTGCTGGTGCAAATATAATCAAATCCTGAGGTGCCTTGCATGCATTTTTACAAGCACTGAGATGGAATTCATGTTTCAATTATTCTTTTTGATG